TCTCGTATGTTGCCACAAGCCGTAGCATGGTCGGAAACCTATGTTTCTATTTGTTTTTATGCTATTAGAAGTCATCTTCTAGTAGTCAGATGTTTTAATCTATTCTCGGACGAGAAAACTCGAATGGAAAGTTTTTGTGCGATAACATCGTCTTAAAGACGCGCAAGTTACACTACCTGTAGATGGCGACGAAAAGTTTGTTTTCTAATAGAAGATGTAGTCAAGTCTCCTCTATAAAATGCTGGAAACTGCAGATTTCTATCTCTCTTCGTCCTGAAGTTATTAAAAAAATATTCATAGACAATATTTTTTTCTGAAATGGACTATAGTAAGTACAATGCTTAAACTTTAATTATCATAGCATTTCCATCACGTTTACGAGAGCCTCCAAACGAATAATTTTCAATGAGTCAAATGGACACACAACTGGCTTCAACCTTTCCTAACGGTCTCAGGAGGTAGCTTTGTTTGGAAGAATGGAACAACTAGACGGAAGACATTTCCTCCTTACCGAATCAGGTGCTGTCTTCCTTTCTTTATGTCTCTAGTAGTAGGAAGCTATGATTAACAGCACTGTGATTAATATTGCCTTTCTTTATAGAAATCTAGCATAATGCGTAAGAGGATGAGTGATGATCAGACTATAGGTATAACTATCGCTAATTGAACGTGTTTAAGCACTACAGACAAAGAAAAAGGAAATTAGAAATGATTCTCGATGAGTCAAAAGAAAGAATTTGGTTTTCTGAAGGAGTGGAATAAATGCAATGCCACTATATGTCGAGACTACTGTCTCGTTGTCATCACTGTATGGGTGTAATAGTGATTGACGGCACTTCGTTGGGTAAGAAGTAGTTACTGATTTAGTTACTGGTTCTTGTCTAGTTGTTCGATTCTTTTTAAATAGAGCTACCTCATGAGGCCTTTGAGAACTGTTGAAATTGATCCTGATGTTTCCATTTGATTCGTTGAAATGTATTTGGTTGAAGTCTCTCGTAAACACGGTTGAAACAGCGTCAAATAAAATTTTCCGAAAGTTTGACTTTTAAAATTGATCATTGAAACTTAAAGTTTAACTTTTGCTTAAAATATTTATTAACTGTAGAAATGTGATACTTACTCATCCATACTTTCTTTATTATTTAGTTCTGTCGTTTTTTCATCAATTTCTTTCAAAAAATATTTCATTGCTAAATCATAATCATTTAACCTTAAGAATGCAACTGCAATTTCAGTATTTGAATGTTTTTGTTTAACTATATTCACATTTTTCTTGCCGTTATTAATTAATATTTCCAAATGATGCATTTTAATTAGAAGTGCATTACTAATAATTAGACTATAGACCGGCATTGGCCATGTTTCGTGTATTGTATGACAATTTTGATATGCAGCACGATAATTTTTTATACGCTCTAAATATAGAACTATTTTATAGCTAATATAAATATTAATTTGATATGGTAAAATAGCACGTTTATAATATTCTAATGAAGGCAATATTTCACTACTATTTTCAAGTGATTCCCCAACTTTTATATAAATACTTCGCAATCCAGAATCATTTTGTTTAAGTATTTTCTCCAGATATGTTTCAGCTGCCATATAACAACGCAACGATGTTAAACTCTCAATAGTATTTTGATCAGTGTTAGATTCTAATAAATGATTATCATCTCTCGTGAGACTTTTCATTTCTTGCTTAATGTTACCCATTTTAATGAAAATACTGGCTATTTGTTTTAAATAATATTTTATTTCATTCATGTTAGATGGTAATGTTTTCTGCAGTAATTGAATAGCTCTTTCATTCTTGTTCAAAGAATTTGTCCAGGCTTTAGCTGTATTTAACGTATGCATTGGTAAAGTACCTAGTTGTCCATTGATTGCTAGCTGTTCCGTTTTAACAGCTTTATCAAATAGACCTTTTTCTGCATATAAAACTGCTCGATTACAATTTATTGTCGTTACCAGTTGATTATAAATCTGTAAACCATGTTTAGCAATTTGCTATCGGTCAATAGTTTCTTCGAGTTTTAACATTTTATAATATAAATTACCAATTTGAAAATAAATTCGTTTAATATCAATATGGTCATGAGGTAAATTAACAATCAGAATTTGAACAGCTATTTCAAAATTTTGTATAGCTTGTTTATAATCTTTTTGATCTGCATGTATTTCACCTATAATCTGATATGAAAGAGCAAGACTTGGATGATATTTTAATAAATATTTCTTTTTAAGATGAAGTGATTTTTGTGCATAACATTGAGCTTTATTATATTGTTTTGTTTTAATCATTTGCTGCCCTATCGCATCATATATGACTGCACGTGTACTAATTGTTCGGTAGTCTGAGTCATAAGCTGAATGTTTTGTATCATTTTTCAATTCGTATAGGACATCAAGACAAGAAGTTAATTGTAAACTATCCGTTAAACAATTTGCTTTTGTAAGAAAAATTTCTACACGAATTGGGTCGTCCTTTTTACTTGTTGTCATATGTTCTAAAGCTATATCATAATACTGAATTGCTGTTGTATAATCTTTGTTATTTTTAAATATATCTCCAACAATGATAGAAGCGATTACAATATTATCATTATCTAGATCATCAATTTTGTCTAAAGCTTGTTTGAAATATTTCAAGGTATTTTTATAGTCCCGTTCATACCAATATAAGAAACCTAGATGACAGCATACAATCAATGTTTTTATTATTGTTGGTTGTTCATAATATTTACGAGTTTCTTCATATTTTTTATCAATGCTAGTTTTAATTTTATGTGGTAATTCACTATGTACGGATTTTCCATAACGACTTTTAACAATCATCTCATGAATTCACTCTATTCTCCCAAATTTGTATGACTTCTTCCAAACCATTAATGCAAGATCAAAATCATCTTTTTTTGTATATGCATAATGTGTACCAACTACTTGAAGTAAATCAATAAGTTGAGAAAGCTTTACTATATTCATATCATCTAATGTTGATGACATTTTTTCATACATTATTACTAGTGGTTCCCAAATCCATAATTTTGCCAAAATAAGACAAACCGTCAATACACGCTGATGCGTATAAATATTTGGTAATATTTTTTGGTATACATCTAATGCATTTTTATACATTTCAATAGCAAATGTCTGTCCAAATGTTGCATCACTTATGATATGCCCAAATTAGACATCAAAATCAGCTTTCATTAAACGTTGTTCTAAAGCATCATGATTAATATTTTTACTACTTTTCTCAAACATTTCATAAGCTTTATGAAAACTGTTAGTAGCTTTATGAAAATGTATTGTTTTATCACCTTCCGGACACAATGCGACTAAAGCGTTACTATATTATGCGTTACTGGTAACGAGTAACGCATGCGTTGTTGCGTTACTAGAAAAGTAACGCAAATAACGCTGCGTTACTCGTTATCAGTAACGCAATAACGCATGCGTTACTACGTTACCTGTAAAGAAACGGTAAAGCGCCACCCCTATTTCGTATCAGATAGTAAAGCAATTTTGCTCTCTTCGAATATATTGACATCATTGATTAACAAAAGAGGTCTAAAACATTAAATGATATCTTTATATTAATTTGATAAAAATTTCCTGAGTGATGTTGAAAACAAAAAAATTTATTGAACAATAAGAAGCCTGTTATGGGTCATGAGGACAGCTGCATTCAGCTTAAGAGGACGAAGAGAGATAGAAATCTGCAGTTTCCAACATTTTATAGAGGAGACTTGACTACATCTTCTATTAGAAAACAAACTTTTCGTCACCACCTACAGGTAGTGTAACTAGCGCGTCTTTAAGACGATGTTATTGCACAAAAACTTTCCATTCGAGTTTTCTCGTCCGAGAATAGATTAAAACATCTGACTACTAGAAGATGACTTCTAATAGCATAAAAACAAATAGAAACATAGGTTTCCGACCATGCTGTTTCTTGTGCCAACATTTATTTTATGATAGAACAACTTCTGTACACGATACGAGCGCTCAACATTTGTTATAGCAACAGTTATTCACGTTTTTTCTACTCATTTAACCCCGAGTAATGTTTAATTTACATATACTATGCAGAGAATGTGTTAGTATGCTAGCTCCTTGAGTATCTGCATCATATATGGAAGTTCTCGTATGTTGCCACAAGACGTAGCATGGTCGGAAACCTATGTTTCTATTTGTTTTTATGCTATTAGAAGTCATCTTCTAGTAGT